CTCTTACCGCGGCGATGTTGGAGTCGACGATTGTGGATCCTGTTACAGCGCGAGTTTGCTCCCGTTGTCGGTGAAACAAAACAATTACAGATAATCAGGCTTGGGGGACGAACCAGATAATCGTGGATAATGGGAAAAAATAGAGGCACGAATAACAGGAAGTGTTGTGGACTCCACGGCTGCTGCTGCTGCTGCTGCAGATGAGTCGCATGGAATAGTTTCGCGGAAAATATGAATTTGACTATTTTATTCTGCGCATGCATTTTAAGTGGAGCCGCCTTGCATCGCCGACGAACAGAACGGCGTTTAAGGAAACCATTGTTACCTTTTTACAAATCGACGAAACTTGTGTTTTCAGATATTTTGACAACAATAAAAACAAATATTCCTTTTAGCCAGTAAAGCTTCAAGTAGTCTTTAAAAGGTTACCTTTCATTGAAGTTCTGGCATGGGATGTTCTTTGATTGTTTATGCTTTACAACGAAGCTTGAAAGCATTTACGAATCTCAGATTTCCAAACCACCCCAACCTTCAAATAATTGACCAATGTATGCATTCTCTGTTATGGTTCCGATTTGTGTCCACAATATGCGATCACATATCACCGTGAGGGTGGAGTAATGCATGTTTCATCAACTTAGCCCACTCACTCATTCAAACGCACAAAAGCGTAACAGAATCCATGTGCATGCATGGTCGCATGCACATGGATGTATTTAAATCATTTATATTAAGTTCGCTTGCTTGCTTGCTTGCGTGCTTGCTTGCTTATGACCGTGCAAATCTTTCGGTCGTTTTTTAACCCACTTCCCGTGATCCAATCGAGCTGGCATTTTGCACACAGACTCGTTGTGCGAGACAATTAATGTTCGTGAAAATTTTTTTTCAAAATTTTACACTGTTTAGGGAAAACAAATTAAATATTTAATTACCTATTGCTTAATACTGGCAGACAATCATCTGACCCATAGGTGGCAGCCATCTCAAGCCGGAGGACGAGAGGACTCTAGCCGCCACGCATATAAAGGATTTATAGTGAAAAACTTTGTTTTTACGGGTTATACTTATTATTCGTTTGCCATTCACCTGGCACTGTGGTCGAGACCACTCCGCTCACCATCGGGCTCAAATTTCGCCCGAGGTCCGGCTCGGATATTTATCCATCAGTCCAGCCAGGGTGGATGAATTGAGTACCATTTTTGTGAGGCGTCGACAAGTGGTCGTCCTGTGGGAACTCGGACCCGCCAAAGGAATGTGGAATTGCCACCTACTGTCGTGGTTCAGGATCGTGAACAGCGATGAGCGCTGCCGAATGAGCAATCGAGCAGGGTGACACTTTTGACCATTTTATCTGAAGATGTTCGTTTAAAAGCAACGCATGAAAAATGTGAATGTTAGCATTCGTAACTGCCAAAGAGTTCTTACCGAGTTATTAATTACTATGATCAACTCATCGACCGTACAGATTTACAGACCCTATGTACTATTTTTATTTTACCAGGTAAGGCCCACTGAGCTGTGCAGCTCTTTTTCAGAAGCGGCCTGGCCACAAATGATAGCTCAATGAAGTGGCCTATCACGTGGCAAATGTATCGTAGCCCAATACTCTAAACCAGGGGTCGGGAACCTTTTTGACTGGGAGAGCCATAAAAGCCAAATATTTCTAAATATATTTCATTGAGAGCCATATAGTAATTTTTAACGTATAATAAATTAAATATGTCTTACTTTTAATGCGACTTCTGGTGCTGCATGGTTTTGCTGATGGCCTTGTAGTCTGGTTAATACGTAGTGAGGTTGAGCTTCATGCAGGCGTTGAGGCCCCGTGACCCGTGAAATTTATCTTCAAAACTAATTTCTGTTTACTTAAAAATGACACAGTATTATTAAGCAATATCACAAGTATTTTAAAATCAGTTCCAAACTGATTTTTTATTTTATTTTTTTCAACTCTAAATTGTCTGGGAGCCATATGCCGTCACCGAAAGAGCCATATATGGCTCGCGAGCCATAGGTTCTCGACCGCTGCTCTAAACGCATGTTTATAAATGTGAAAGGAAAAAATGGAGGATGCGGAGAAAAATCCATGCGACGATGGGGAAAACACGCAAACTCCAAATATAGAGCAGGCAAGAGGGTCGGAATCGAACCCACGACTTCCTGAACACCAGGCGAGATCGTTAACATCTCGTCACCGTGGCAACCCTATGACCGTGTGTGCGTGTCATTTTATGTTCGTGACCTTGTTATTGCTCCACCACTCGGGCAATATAACGAAGGGCCCTCCTTGCGGCACGTTTTACATGACTCGCCACTCACTCCCCATCGATCTCACAACCAGTGTCGCAGGCGACGGACCTGCCCACGGACCCACACAATCTCACCGCACAACCCGAGTCCACGCGACGAGTTATCAGCGGCGTCCAAATTCCATTGCCACGTGAGCTTTACTGGACAAAGTGGTTGTCGAAGCAGGGCGGTCGGCGCTACTGCCTTTAATTGCAGATGAAAACTTATCACCTTGTGCAATAGAACCCACCCCCCCCCCCCCCCCCCAATGCAAACCACGTAGCCACAGGTTACCAGAATTGGGTACTGTTGATCATCGTCATCATCCAAGTCCAGTCATTAAACATGTCCGTTCTTTAACTGAGAATGATATCGCGTGCCCGCGAGCAGTCAACCGTGGCGCCGCTTACCCGGACATTTGTCAATCCACTGACCGGATGAGGGCCACTTATGTGGTTTTGTGGGCCGCTTTTTGACCGCGCCCACTCTGGTCAACATTGGGTGGTGAAGGGCAGGTGGCCCATGACCACCGGTTCGGACTCATAGATTTTGCTGTGGCCAGGGGAGTCAGGATCGTGGGGGCCATAGCGCAGTGTTATGGACCACCGGGCCACCGCTGCCCCACCCCAGCATTATTTCGCTGCCGAGGTGAAACGCAAGATGCGCGTGGAGGATGCCGGGGGGCCTTCGTGGAAGGTAGCTAGGTGCAAGCGATATGGAAGTTCAGAAGAAGGGCGTTGTGTCGATGCAATCGGGGAGAGAGGAGGCTGGGACCTGTGCATCAGAGGAGCGGTGCGACGCAGTGGTGAGCGCACTGCACTAGGAACCAGCCCCCCCCCCCCCCCCCCCCGAGTTCGATTCCCGCTCACGACCAACACCAGTGACGGTTTATCTGAAACGTTCCTGGGCCTCAACTCAGCCTCAGATGAGTACCTGGTGCGATGTGTAAACATCGCCATTGGGGAGACAAAGACGGCCGGGCGTGGTGTTGGCCACCCAACCCCCTCGTGTGCCGTGCCGGCCTTCGTAGGTGCTACTCGATAACAGCACTTGCCCCTACAGTCTATTAAGGCTACACGGAGGGGGGGGGGTCTTTGTCTTTGTTTGAAGGACAGGCCACGGAGATGAGATCGGTGGCTCTCCAACATCATCGGCAAATAAAATAAATATCAACATACAGTACCCATTATATTCTGATCGTATTGCCCCTCCACCATCGCGCCCCCACCTGGATCCACCAGTGGGATTGGCGCGGCACAACGGATGTCAACAGGGCGGGAAGAGCTGTGACGTCAGTTGACAAATAACAATGTGAACGTCGGTCCAACGTTGGCACGCTGTTCACTGGGTGGCGAGATACTGAGAGAGCAGACCTTTAAGAACCTTGTAAATGCCTTATCGTTGCACAACCTTATTACAGACCAATTCAGACCTCGACTTAAAAGCTGTCGTGACTGCAGGAATACATATTCTATGGGTCTTTCGGTAAAGCCACGTAGATAGAAAAATAATTTACAAAAATATCACGACGTTTCGATCGCAACACAAGCAATCGTCTTCAGGTGAGGCTGATTGTGTTGCGATCGAAACGTCGCGATATTTTTATTTTTCTATCTACGTGGCTTTACCGAAAGACCCATAGAAAACAATTCACCCCGTGCCCCTTATACATCTCAACGTTCATCCTGCAAAGTCCCAACACAATGGAGAAGCACGAACGACCGCACCCATCCTGCGCACTGCCCTTGGGCACAGCTCGGGGCGGTAAGGGGCCGTCCATAAATGACGTCACGCGATTTTGGACGATTTTTTACCCCCCCCCCCCACCTTCGTCACACGGCGTCACAAAAAGTCAGACCCCCCCCCCCTCAAATATAACGTCACAAAGCTCTGCCCCCCCCCCCCCAAAAAAATAAAACATGCTTCAAATCGCTTTAAGCTATTGTCATTGCAGTGCGTATTTAATGTGGCGCTGCACTCTGATGTTGTAGGAGAAAACATTTATTAAAAAGTCCATTTAATTAAGTAGAACGTGTTGTCTATATTTATTTAAAGTTGCGTATTTTTATGTGAAGTCACATTTCTCAACACCCCCCCCCTTCCCTAGGTGCGTGACGTCATTTATGGACGGCTCCAAACGCTGCTGTGCCCATAGTCGCCGGTGCTGTGGCGTGGCTTGTGTGTTTGGGAAATCCTTAATTCCCGATCAAATGTGTCGGCTGCTGCGGAGATCGCCGCCACTCTCCAGAGTAAAAAAAAAATCTGTTCCACGACTCTTTTTTTATTTGGCCGTATGCCATTTTTTGTTGTTACTCTTAGGTTTTTTCGGTAAAGTCACGTAGGTAAAAAATAAAAATAAAAAATACCTACGTGACTTTACCGAAAAAAAAACTAAGAGTATGAATCCTTGCAGTCACGAAAGCTTCAAATCTAGAATTTTTTGTTGTTGCCCGCATTGAAACGGCTGTATGCCGCACTCAATTGCCCTGTAAAAGGATGCGGGGTAAACCGCATGGGTTGACAGCTGTGGCAACGGCAATGTGTGTGTGGGGGAGAGGAGGGGAAACCCCACCCGCGTTACTGGGCAAAACTTCACGAGAGATGATGGCGGTATTTGCATAGCAGCTGGACTCGGCGCTGTTCGTCATCAGCGCGATGACGACGATGTGGTGGATTTCGATTTCGCGATTCACGTTCGAACCACAACGAGCGTCTTTGAAGGAAGTTTTATTGGTCTCAGGGAGCGGGGGGAAGAAGGCACTTGCAAGGAAGTGGTCGGCGAGTCCCACAATACAAATATTTGTTTTCTTCAAATTATATTACATCCGATGCTTATGACACGTTACAACGCAAGCCCTGGCCACTGAATCGTTTATTTGAAAAAAATGTGTCAATTTCAAACCGGGCGGAGGAGTGCCATTGCTTTTATATATACAAAGATAAAAGAACCCCCCCTCTTGTAAGCCTTTACAGACTGTTGGGGCAAGTGCTGTTCGCGAGTAGCACCTGCGAAGGCCAGCACTGTGGCACATGAGGGGGGAGGGGGGGCAGCAACACGCCCCGGCCACCTTTGCCTCCCCCAGTGGAGATCTTTCGCACAGGGCACCAGGTACTCATTTGAGGCCAAGTCGACCTAGAGGAGGCCCAGTCGACCTAGAGGAGGCCCAGGATCACACAAGAGCCGTGCTTCAAATCGGTGGCTACAAACAATGCCGAGATCATCCCCGACCTTTGCATCGGCCAGCGTGGAACAAAACCCCGGAACGGAATGAAAATGCGTTCAAAGCGCTCTCCAGTCTCGTCCAGACGCAACGCAATTCATAGGGCAAGGGCCGTTTCAAAACCAGCGATGTTGCTTAACTATCTAATGATGCGCGTGTGCGCTCTTCGATTATAAAGTAATCATCACTGACGATGAGAAAAAGGGTCCTCATGTGGTGGATCGTTTCCTATAGTAGGGTTCCGTGCATCATCTCCCCCCTCGGGCATGGACATTTAAAAAACCATATACATTTACAAACGCGTGACACCATAGGTTTTGGGATTCGTTTTAAAATGTGACGTAAAACTGATTTGTGATACGCACACAGTGGATTGGACGTCAGTTTGTGGGTCAGTGCCAAAAGTGGATATAAAAAAAATCACGGCGCCTAGCAAAGGGGAAACACATTGGCCGATATCACCTGTGCCCTGACCACGAGAACGACCACGGCCACGTTGACGCCAATAAAACTTTGCATGGGCAACCACAGTCCTCGAACACCTTGCCCAACATCCGGCATCGTGACGCAACCAACGAACCCGATCACCGTGACAGAGCAAACGTTGCGCCTACCCCTCTGTTTTGTAGACGAGAATGGATTGCCATCCGTCACCAGCAGCGCGTTATCTACGGAAGTTCAACTTCTTGCGCCACCGGTACGTGGCCAACCGTGCTGAGCGGGGCTACGGGGTTCTGGTGGTGCGAATTCCTAGCTGGCAAGTGCCGCAAAAGACACACAAAGATGCCCCGTATAGCCTTAACAGACTGGAGGGGCAAGTGTTTAGCGAGCACCTATGAAGGCCGGAACGATACACGAGGGGGTGGGTGGCCAGCACCACGCCCGACCGCCTTTGTCTCCCCAGTGGCGATGTTTACACATCGCACCAGGTACACATTTGAGGCCGAGTCGACCCAGAGGAGGCCGAGGATCGGTTCAGATAATCGTCACTGGTGTTGTCCGCGAGCGGGAATCGAACTCCGGTCGTCGGGTTCGTGGTGCAGCGCGCTACCGCTACACCACCGCTCCCCACGCACACACGCTCGATCGATCCAGGCGAGAACTTCACCACATCGCCGTGGCAAGTGCAGCGGGGAGGGCCTCTCGTCGCACTGCGATGCTGAAACATCATCAGCACTCGGCCGGACGAGCGGCAGGCCACCGCCGAAGGTCCGAAAACCGCTCCTCGGCAACTTCTCTCGGACTCCCTCCCAATTGTCTCGACTGCCCGAGTTCGTGTAACCTCGCTCTCAATTCGCTGGGCTTTTTGTAGGCGGCGGCATCCGTGACAAAGGAAGATCTCGGACGGGTGCACCGTTTTGACGTGCTCTGCCGTGCAGAGTATGACCACCCAACACCGCCAGTGCCGGCGTGCGCACAGCTCAGGTGCTGCGGTGGCTCAACTTTGTTGTGGTTTGCCCCTGCGCCCCCCCTCGCCCCCAAACTTTCAACATCGTCTTGTCCACACGCAATCCCTCTACCCGTACCATGACAGGCCGATGCCAGGACCCGACAAAGCAGTCTCGCTCCCACCAAGTGGGGAGAGACTCGCAGGCCAGAGAGGACGAAGAATGAGAATCCAACCCCCCCCCCCTTCCTCGTCCAGGGACGTGACACAACCGTTACTCGGAATCATTGCTACTGCTCGGCTTTCCCTTCTGTGGTGCTTTTGATTTAATAAGATATCGTTACACGTGCAATACACATTAATAACGTGATGATCTCAATGGGCTCTCAGCCGATTTGATTAAGGTCAGCGATTGTGTAGCCAGGGGAAAGGGTTGAGCCTCGTTACACAAAGCAGACGTCAAGGTCGGGACTTGGAAACTAAACTATTTAAACGAAAAACTATTTTGTATTTATAGCTCTTTTGCAAAGCGACCTGGCCACAAATGATAGCTCAACGAAGTTGGCTTTCATGCGGAAATGTATTGCAGCCAAATACTCTAAACGCACGTTGATTCTAAATGTGGAGGGAAAAGCCAGAAGACCCCGAATAAAAATGAACACGTGACCATGGGAAGAACATGCAAACAAATATACTGGCGTTAGGGTCGGGATCGAGCCCACGACCTCCTGTATACCAGACGAGGTAGTTAACATCTCGCCACTGCGGCGCTATGGCTTGTCGAAAATATACAAACCATGCAGTGATATTCCCTCGTGTTTTAATCAACTGGTCACAGGAAGTGTATGCATGACCCGCCCCCTACTGGACATCATTCATAGCTCATCGGATTCCTCCAGTCTCAATACAGATTCTGATCCTATGATGTCGTCCATGAGCCCAGATCAGATATTTCACTGGTCACTACGCACCTGAGGTGGGATCCAGTTTCTTCACGTGGCCAAAGACAGACTGAATTACGTGATAACCACTTGAAATGACCGAGTTATCAAATAATTCACTCTTGTTGCCCGTACATATAATAAATCGGTGCTACGAAAGCTTCTCGAGCAAAGTTGGTACCAATTTACGTTCTGATCCATGGACGAATGTGGCCCACCAAAGTCAAGGCTAAAGACAGGCAACAGTTGGTCACCCGTGGAATTTTCTCAGATCGTGGCTCCTTCGACTCGTGGCCTCTCGAGTGGCCTGGGAGATACGGCTCGCCGAGACATCAAGAGGCACGGATCAGTGAGATGAGACAGAGAGGTGCACGAGAGACAGAAATGAGAGCGCCGTTGAAAAAGGGATTGAGGCTAGCGAGTAAAAGTGAGGTAAGGAGATCCGGGGTGCGGAGGCATGGAAAAGCAGTCACGTGCGCAGACTTCTAACGACGTCACAAAACCCACGTGACGTAAAGAGGCCATGGCGATGTCACTTGGCCTGCCGGCACTATGTGGCAATTTTAATTTGAGGCCCGTCAGAAAGAAAAAAAAGCAGCAGGTGAAGATCCCGGGTCTTCAGACAGCAAAAGGGTCGAGAAACCAACGAAAGTAACGGTAGCGGTGCGTGAGAATCCAGCGCTGCTGGTGAAGTTCACACCGCAAGTTTTGGGCCCTACGCTGTGAAACCCGGCGAATACGACCCAACTCTCAGGATGGTTATCGTGCGACCAGTTCTGGTTAGAAATGCTCCTTGAGATTCCAGGGCAATGCCTCGGTAACAAAGCAGACGTCACACCCCCCCCCCCCCCCCCCCCCCCCCGTTCCAGCACCACATAACACTCTCCCGGTCGTCAAAGGTGCCCTCCTGGAGTTTACGCGCTTGTGGATGCATATTCAGAGCGCCAGTGACAAAAATATTTACACTGTCAGGGCACATTCAGGGACCCACAATCAGAAGAGTGGCCTCTACTGTGACTTAATGGTGATTGGTACTACACTTTATCCACCCTGGAGGGATGATGGGCCGCTGAGTCGACCCCATGACTGGAATTTCGACTTGGCAAACGTTGGCATTGTGAGTCGAACATTCAGGACAACAGTGCCAGCTGTTCAGTTGCTGAATATATATTATATGTATTATTTATTATTTATTTGTGTACCTCACTACAATTGTATGGTCATGAGCTCAACTGGTGGGGGGTGGGGGTCGCTTCAGCCCCCCCCCCGCCCCCCCCCGCCCCCCCATGGATCTCTCCGTGGTTTATGAAAATAAATTAGCACCAACCAATTCGTCAGAAGTCAACAACAGTGGCCGTCATACCGAGAGACTGGCCTCGGCCATAGGAACTTGGAAGTTTCACCGCCGGCTCAGGGCCACCAATGGACACACATGAGCACCGCCCTCACCGCCCGCCCCCCCCCCCCCCCCCCGCCAGATGCTCGCTCGGTGAGAACTTTGTTGTGGGCTGGACACGCGCTCGTGGTGGCGCTCACAGCAGCAGGTAGGTGGTGGGCACGTAGCCCTGGGCCGGGCCCGTCTGCCTCTTCACCAGCGTCCAGCCCTGCCCCGTGTCGGCCTCCACCACCCACAGCACCTCGCCCTCCGCCACAGCTATGGTTCCATCCGAATCGCCTGCACGCACGCACCCACCACCACCCACGATACAACATTGGCATGTTTCCTGGGTTGTTGCGGCCGCTGATAATGATGCCGCTGATGCTGCTGCGAGTGCACATCCGCACGTTTACCAGGGAAGGCGTAGGCGGCTCGACACTGCTTGAACGGTTCCTTCTGGGGCTCCGCCTCGTAAATATCATCGTCGTCATCAAACTCGTCGTCAAACGATTCGGACGAGGTGGGCTGCGAGGGGCGGCACGTGGTCGTGGGGCTGCCGGGACAGAAAGACAGGAGACGGAATGGGACAGTGTGGGGAGTTCAGAGAGAGAGAGGGACTGTGAAAAAAATTGCCGGCTTGATCCACAGACGACGAGGTCCTGATTCTCATCAATTCAACTCAGAAATCGCACTCAGCCTGGGGGCCCACAGCGGTCAGTGGACCGCGGCCAAAGGCACCACAGGGAGGGAGGGGGGGAGAGCCCCGTTCGATCCCTACTGCAACAGAGCTGGTGGTCGCTTTCACCCAAATCATGTTGCGCGCTGTGGTCACAGTGCAAATCCCATTGTGATGTACGGAAGTGAATCCCTAAATGTATTTGTCTGCCTGTGGCTGCAGCTATCCCAATGAGAGGCAGGATGAGTAGCTAGTTAAGTCGAATGGCTGACCAAAAATTGTAATCGCCGACTTCCTTTATGATCGAGTATGAGGCTTCCTAGACAATGGCCACTGGCCCGATATCCTGAAGGCAGGAAACCCCGACACAAGCCACGCCCAAACGTGATGCAGGCAATGTTGCCGATGACATCACCAAGCCCCGCCCATCGATTCTCCTCCAACGGCACACGTTCGAGTAACCGAAATGACAATCAGCTCTCATCCACACCACGCCGGGGAAAGGTCAGGGAGGCCAAGGTTACGAATCTCACATGCTGGATTATTCGCTTACGGCACGAATGCACTCACCCACCCGAAAAGCAGCCTTAGAGCCAGGCCGCAATGTACGTGTTTATGTATGTATGTATTTTGAACTTCTTTCGCACCGTACGTAGCCAACTGTGCTAATCAGAAGTGCGAGGGAAGGACAACATGTAAATGCACGTGTGTGTGTGTGCATGCACGTGTTATGGGTAGCGGTGGCGTAGCGGTTAGCACATTGCTCTACAAGCCCGGTGACCCGAGCTCGATTCCCTTCAGAGCCAACACCAGTGACGATTATCTGAACCGCTCTTGGGCCTCCCGAAGGGTGACTCAGCCTCAAAAGAGTACCTGGTTCTACTGGTGAAACAAAGGCGGCCGGGCGTGGTGTTGGCCATCTACCCCCTCGTGTTGACATTGCTGGCCTTCAAAGGTGCTCACTAACCACACTTGCCACAACAGTCTGTTAAGGCTACATGGGGGATCTTTGTGTTTGTGTGCCCATCTGTGTGTGGCAAGTAGGGGGGGGGGGGTGTGGTAGTGTAGCGGTTAGCGCACCAAACTACAAACCCAGCGACCAGAGTTCAGTTCCCGCTCACGACCAATAACTTTTGCGAATATTTGAACCGTTCCTCTAGGTCGACTCAGCATTTAGTGAATACATGGTGCGGTGTGTAAACATCAGCACTGGGGAAACAAAGGCGGTCGGGCATGGTGCTGGTCACCCACCCCATCGTGTGTCATGCCAACCTTCATAAGTGCTCGCTTACAGTACTTTCCCCAAAAGTCTGTGAAGGTTATACGGGGATCTTTGTCTTTGTGGAGAGTTTTGGTGATAACTGAACCCCATCCTGGGCCTCTCTATGTGTTGACCCAACCTGAATTAAGTGCAAACATCTTTACTGGGCAAGGCAAATGCGGCCAAATATGGCGCTGGTCACACGAGTGCCTTGTGGGGCACGTTCAGCCTCAACAGGTGTGGCCCATGCACAGCATAAGCCCCAACAGTCTATACACGCTGTACCAGGAGGCGGTGGTGGGGGGGCTCTTCATTGATCTGTGTGCGTATGGGAGTGTCATGTGGCTCGGGGTGCTGACTGTTGATAAGGGAATTCCATTCACACACGATGGCATCGCACCTCTCCGGCGGTCCCTGAGAGACTCGGTAGGAGCTCGTGCGAGAGGAGATGGAACGCGACAGGGGTTTTCCATCCACCTCCACCATCCAGGTCTGCACGCGCGCGCACACACACACACACAAAGACAACGATCACCGACATAGCCTGTAGTAGACCGATGGAGCAAGTGCTGCGAGTGAGCACCTAAGAAGTCCAGCATGGCGCACGAGGTGGTGGGTTGCCAGCATCAAGCCCGGCCGCCTTTGTCTCCCGAGTGCTGGTGTTCTACACACCGCACCAGGTACTCGACCTAGGGGAGGCCCAGGAGCGATTCAATTATTTGCCACCGTTATTGGTCTTGAGCGGGAATAAAACTCGGGGTCACCTTGGTTGTAGCGCAGTGTGCTAACGACAATACTCCCGCTCCCCACACCCCTGCACAGGCATGCAGGGAAATGCACACACATTGTGTACAGCCCTTTGTCCATCTGCTACTGGATGAAGGCCTTCCAAAGCCACATCGGTCATTGAGGTTGTGTTACCATACTTAACCATGCAAGTCAGTGTCTCACAAACTGCCTCGTACTGTCCCACCAACTGCCTCGTACTGTCTCACAAACTGCCTCGTACTGTCTCACAAACTGCCTCGTATTGTCCCACCAACTGCCTCGTACTGTCCCACCAACTGCCTCGCACTGTCCCACCAACTGCCTCGTACTGTCCCACCAACTGCCTCGCACTGTCCCACAAACTGATCAGATTATTTCCTCTCCCCTTCTGTTTTCCATTTTCAAAACCATCTCAGTCATATCTCCAGCTGATCCTTTTGGGATACAACAAAACAAACATGCAGACAATACGTCGCCTTTACATATTCGTCTCTCCACATGAAATTTTAAGCATATGTTATATAATACATCGGCCGCAGAACCCTCTTCCAGGAGGGCATCCTCTCAGGAGCATTAATTCAAATGCCAGTACTGGTTTTTCGACATACCAGTGTCTCGTCAGCAGAGTCAGGCTCAATGCTAGAAAACTGCCGAGGTTACAGGCAAGGTACGCCTCTTCAAGATATTGGTAAACACTCGTTAGTTGGCCGATAACACCTTAATATAGAGAGGACTGCAGAGCTTGGACAACTGCAATGTTGGCGCAGCCTCGTCACGTGGTCGCTCGCACTTCGAAGTAGTTTTTTTTATTTTGCGTTCCTGAAGAACACCGCGTAATGGAAAAATGGCATGAAAAAATCATAACATGCGATGAAGCACAGTCCGCAATAATGGCGTGAGATGCGCACGCAGGATGAACAAATACTGAGGCGCTTGGGTAGCATCTAGAAGCATCCAGCAGCATCCCGCTGTGTGTGATGATGCTACACTGAGGCAGCCGTACAACCGCTTATTCCAACTTGCACGACATAGTTCAGTTCACTCAATCGCGTGATTTCCAATTCGCGTCCGCATTGATATAAAAATGAGTTCCCCAATACATTCATCGCATAATATCCAATTTGCTTCACGGAGAACAAACTTCGTCACAGGATACAGACGATCACCATCACGAGATACAGCGCAGCGCTCCGACCGCGGCACCACCGCTCCATTACCTCGTACTTGTGCAGCTCCTGTTTGAGCTTATCGAGTCGCAGCTTGTTCTCGTGGATCTGCGGGTCGAGGATGGCCGTGTCTCCCAGCTGCGGGTTCTTAGTGTACACGTCGCGCATCTTTTGCAGCGCCACGCTGCGACCCAGGCAGGACGCATGCGCGCACACGGAGCACACACGCACAGAAAAAAAGACAACGATCCCCCACATAGCCTTAACAGACTGTAGGAGCAAGTGCTGTTAGCGAGCACCCATTAAAGGCAAGCAAGTGGGTAAAGACACACACAGCTTCCTCGTAGCCTGACACGCTTGCCAGGGGCAAGGGTTGTTATCGAGCATGTATGAAGGCAAGTGCAAGCACGTCACTCATAGGGGATATTTGGCCAGCACCATGCCCGGCCACCAAGATGTTGGCCATGAGCAACAATCGAACTCGGGTCGCCGGATTCGTTGCGCTGCCTCCTGGCGAGTGCTTGCGAACCAACAATGGCGGTGCAGCACAAAAGTATTGGGCAGGTAATGACTCATCCACTCAGACGTTCCATTAATCGCCGAGATTCGATGAAAGAATCGATTCTTTCGTCTCAATTTTTATCATCTCATTTAGTTTGGTTATGGTTGGTTTTTTTGGCCTGTTCATCCTGTTTTGTTTACAGCATGAGCGTAAATGTCACACCACTCATTGGAACAGAATAGGAAGTAATAAGCCACGCGGGAGATCGTGTGGCGTAGTTTGGCACCAGCTATCATCGAGTATGATCATGTCGCTATGGTTCGCTGTGGTAAGTACAATGTCTTTAAAATAACGGCGCTAAGCTTCTCTCACTAAAATTAACGCCAAACACTTGCGCGTTCCGACATTCCGTGGTGAACGGGACCCCACCCAATAACTTGCAGACATCTCGGAACGGGAAAGCGTTAAGAATCCGTTTTTATTGATGGATCAATACTTGCTTACAAAGCTTTACTGGAATTTCCATGAATGGCTCATAGCCACCTACAGAGTTAAGTGCTGGCCCCATGCTCCGTTGAGTATGGGGGCATTCTTTAGCTTGATTCAGTATGCACTGTGGTGGCTTCTATAGAGTTCTAAATGCCAATGTTGAGTTCCTGCTAGTAGCCACGAGAGGGCTTCAGGAGAGAGAGTTCGTGTCGTTTTACTATTCCTCCTCCACTGTATGAGCGTAGACTAGTGGCTCACTACACGGTCCAAAGTTTGGGTTGCATGGCCGCAGTCGCACTGCTGTGGCTTGTGTCTTTAATTTTCCCTATGTGAAGGAGATGTGTGCAGATGCGGTTGATGGTTACAGGGGTGTCTTTGAGAAATATCAAAGTCAGGAGGTGCTTTGTTTGGGTCTTGAATTTAGGTGTTTATTCCACTGTTCGTCAGAGTTTTTCTGGAGCTGGGTGAGATTCTAGGATGGTGACTGCACGATCCCACAAGGGGGGAATCAGGACTTGAGCAGCAGTGAGATACATTGTTGAGGTCTTGGGTTGATGGGTACGGATGTTGTTGGCAAGAAAACGTGTAAATCGTGTGAAATAGGATGTGTGCGAACGAGACAGTACAATAGTTTCCATTCACCGCGCATGGACACGCACCACTGGTCCGACTCCTTGGTGATGTCACGGTTTAATTCATCCATCTTGTGCTGCAGCTTCTTGCGCCTTTGTTCGGGGGGTAGGTGGCTGAAGTCTTCAGCTGGGGGGCCCTAGACACGTGCGCACACACACATTCAATACGGTTGGCGCGATATGGCAATTACATATTTAAAACCATTCAACTAAATGATTTAACTTTTGGGGCAAGTGCAGTTAGCAAGCACCTATGAAGGTCGGCACGGCACACGAATGCTAATATTTTACACACTGCACAAGGTACTGATTCGAATCAACCTCGGGGAGGGCCAGGTCTTGTTGAGATAATCGTCACTGGTGTTGGTCACGAGCGGGAATTGAACTCGGGTGGCCAGGTTTGTACAACAGCACACTAACCACCAGTGGCGGCTCGTGAAATTGCCACTAGGTGGGGCTGTTGTGCGTGACCTCTGAAAAGATGGTGTTCTAATTAAGAAAAACCTCGTTATGTTATTGGCCTTCCCGTGAAAGTTATATAACTGTCTTATCTATCGACGGTAAGCATTTATAAACAATACGAAACAAAACAACAAATCACTCAAATGCTGTCCCCATGGCCTTCAAGTCCACACTACACAACCCCTAAAGAACAATTAAAGATCAGGAGCCAGTTGCTTGACATTCAACTTCTCCTGCAAAGTCATCCTTCAAATGTAATATTAGGAGTGGCTCCACAGTGTTCGTTGCTAATTATTTGTTCGCTGCACCTGCTGCCATCACCATTGCTGTTGTTTACTTCTAGAGCGTGTAGGCCGCGACCTCCTATATTTGCACACTGCAACTTAGCGTTGTGACATCGTCTCATTACAGCCATCGGCGCCTTTTTCACCACCCTGAATGGGTCTCAAAGGGCATGGTTAGAATGTGAAGCTAATCGCAATGAATGAAGGAATATCTCTCACTCCGACACCTTCACAGCCACCGAGACCTCCGCGAGGCACAAATCAGACTGTGGTGCTGCAGGGGTTTCTAATATGAACAACTTAAAACGTGATCTTTATTAGGCAATTCACGTTGAAAGAATCATTATATTTATTTTTAAAAATAAACAACTAAATAATCGACAGAAAAGTATTTTTATTAGAAAAATAATTTATCATCTCCAGCTGCTTGGTGGGGCAGTGCCCCAATGCCTCTAGTGGACGGACCTGCCTGCTAATCACGACTCTACCCCTCTCCACGTACACACACACACACCTTGGTACGTTTCCAGGGCCAAAGAATGAGCTTCCCTTTGCCAGATGCTCCCAGGTCATGTGACCCCGCCTGGCTAAGATCTTCGAAGGAGACGTCGCCTGGAATCTGGAAGCCTGACTTGTAGGCCTCGATGACTCGCTGTGCATCCTGAGCAGGCAAATGCAAAAAAAATACAACAGAGAAAGTCGGGCGAGTTTAACAATAATGCATTGCAGATCACGACACGACACTGATACCACAATCGGGATCAAATAAAAAACACGACAGAACAACGCCGCACCACTTGATGCGCTATGGTAGGAAGGAATCAACTCGCAGACTAAAGGTTAGGGGTCAACTAAGCCCATCATCCCTCTTTATTAAATACAATTATTACCTTTTGTGGGAAGTCAACAGCATAGATTGTTGGGAGTTTCAAAAGTGGGGACCCTATGGCTATGGAAAGACCGGTCCCGCCATAACAATGTGGAATTTTCAACACAACTATGCATGCATGTGTGTTGAACTTCTTTCGCACCGTACATAGCCAACCAAGCTAATCGGAAGTGCGGGGGAAGGACAACAAACGAAACACAAAAAGCAGTTCTAAGGAAATGAGTTTTCAACCTAGATTTAAAAGTGCACGTGTGTACCGTATGCATATGCGTAGCTGTACGCGTCTGCGCGTGCGTAATGTGCCGGGTACGCACCGTGTCGGGCTGCACCGAGTCCGCCGCCTTCTTCATGCCCTCGACGCACTTGGACATAATGGGCAGCACCTCCTGCTCCCTGGAGGCGGTGATGGTGAGGGCGGCGCCCACCGCGCTCACCCTCTGCCCGTCGAGCTCCTGCAGGGACTGCACGCACACGCGGGGGGGGGGGGGGGGTGAGGAGGGGTTACTGACAATACCTCCCACCCCAACGCGCACGCGCTTGACGTGACGGACGCACGCGGCAGCGCGGGGGCCGGGCGCGCGGTCACCTTCAACACGCCGGGCATGATGGTGAAGTAGTGCTTCTTCTGCTCTTCGTTGAAGGTGGCGTGCAGCATCGCGTAGTCGGCCTTGCTCTCATCGTGCGCGCGCTGCCTCTGGGCGGCCTGCTGCTTGACCTGCACACGCACACGCGCGAGTCGCCATTGAGCAGCCCGGCTCAATATTTACGAAAATTAAACAATGTACACTCGTTTAGCGGCATCTAAACGCAACCGCCCCTCCGGACGCTTTCGCCAGGTCGGTGGGGGAGGGAAATAAAACCCGACAATGAGCTGTCCATTCGTGAAAACAAGCGTGACCTTAAGTCTCAACTGCACAGAGTTCAGGAGGAAGATAATTGCGGGCAGCAGGAGCAGAAGCCGAGAAAGAGCGACAAGCAATCAATCAATCATCGAACATCGGGCCGGTTAAACCACTGCTTTTGTCGGCAATCGCAATGAAGGCATCGAGGGGAAGCATTGGCGGGGAGAAGTGGGGGCGGGGTTTTGAAGTGTGCTGCGGAAGGAGACTGTCACGCATCGCGTGGGTGGCAAGAAGAACCCACACGGTTAGGGCCCGACGAGAAATCGGCGAAATAGCAGAGATCTATACGCCGTGATAGAAGGACACAGAGATTAGGTGGGCCCGGAAAACCTGGGGGCAGTGTTTTGGACTTTTGGTAAAGTGGAGGGAAAATGGAACAGAGGTGGACAAGAGTCTAGGATAGACAGACAGCGTTGTAAATGTAACCGTTTGGAAATCCGGGTGGAGTTGCTTCATCATCATCAAGGTCACAAAACGACTGAGAGAGGGAGAGGAGGAGGAAACTATCATTAGATATGCTTTTTAAAAATCAGAGTGGCGCACATCCCCGCTGGTAACCCTGAGCCGTAGGAATATTCCACATTCCCATGACCCTGACCAATCCTAACAAGTGACCACTACCGACTTAGCATAGACTGGTACTGGCTTGGTCCAAGCTGCATGGAGCATGGGCCGAATTATAAATGTGGACTTTGAAATGTGATATTATACCTGTGAGGTTAACCTCCGAGCCAATATTAGTGGGTATTTTATTAATTCGTAAATGTTTAAGGTTACGAGTTACAATTCCATTCGAGACTTAATTTCGGCCATCATCTCATCGTTCTTAGGTCGAATTAAAACAGGTACCACTTTGTGGGAAGTCAACAAATGGTTCGATGTAGAAACCGGCCCCCTCTACCAGTGACTCAGCGTTGTGCTCTTTTTCTTGAGCGTTGCGGCCTTTAGACTTTTTTTATTTACCGTACAAAGCGTCACCGAGTTTCAGGACTAAAGCGGGTTTCCGCTAAGGACATATCCACGGTTAACTGCCTTGCCATAACACCACACCTCTGAGCCACGTTCGTTTTGGAAGATCATTCAGTTACTGCTTACACAGGCTCTCCTTTACCTTATCAATCTCGGCCTTGATGCCTTCCGATTCCGTTTTCTCCAGGAGCTGCTGCGCTTTCTCCCACTCCCGGAATTCCCGCTCGTACCGTTTCCTGGCCTGCATCGGAAGCACGTGACACGCACGACATTATATAGGCGCACGTAAATACATGCGCTTGAGAAAATACGCACGCTCTCAGGTTCAAGGAATTGATTTCAGGTGGAAAGGCCCCGTTGCGCTAAGCCAGTGGTTCAAGCTTTTTTGGCTAATGTACCCCTTGGTTGAATTTCGTTTCAACCGAGTTCTGACCCAACATGGTTCTGAGAAAGAAAAAAAAGTATGAATCATGAAACAATTGTTCATTATGTGAGGTAAAGCCTAACTAGCTTGAAACTGCAAGTGAATTAAACGAAGTTAAACGGACGCTCTGCATGCGTGACGTAATTTGTTCGCGCTCGCTGATGACCCTTGGAAACCCCGTCGTTTGCAATCAATGAGCTTAGAAAGGCCTTTTATATCGTTATAGGTTATCATATGGGCTTTACATTTTATCGTAGTTACTTTACATTGGCAGATTCATACGTGATTATTACACACATTTATAAATCACCTCGCGTAACCCTGGGACATTGCCACGTACCCCCAGGGGTCTGCGTAGCCCCGGTTGAGAATCACTGCGCTAAGCGTCTCTTTTACAAGGACGGCCAGGGATATCCGAGGTCATCGCCAGTGATTGCAGTTACAGGACATCACAGGGTGGACGGAATGTGCAAACTAACAAGAGAAAATAGCAACAAATTTAGACCAAAGGCAAGAAATAGTATTTATATATACAAATAAAAAACAGTGCCAAATATATCGTCATGTACGGATGTAAATAAACCATACATACAGCCTCAGGTATAACAGAGCTTGGTTAAAGCATTCATGTGTGCTGAACTTCTTTCGCACCATATGTAGCCAACCGTGCTCATCGGAGATGCGGGGGAAGGACACCAAACTAAGGACAAAGAGCAGTTCTAAAGAAATTAGTTTTCAATCTACATTTGACAACTAATTTCTTCAGCAGTTTTCAATTCACAGCAATAGTGGCAGAGGTGATCCTGCAGCATGGGCTTAACACACCTGGATAACAAGGGTGAATTTTTAAGATTAAGGTTGGTTACACGTGCGCAGAGCCGGCCCAGCCACTAAGCGACCCTTGCAATTGCAAAGGGCCCCGTGGCCAGCAGAGGGCCCCCTAGAGTCACTGCTAGCTAGTGGGTGAAAAAAAATCATACATCAAAGGGGCCTGCAACCAAATTTTGCTTCGGGCCCCCAAGGGTCTAGGGCCGGTTCTGCACGTGCGAACATAATACAGGTAGGAACAACAGTTCCACACTGCCCACCAGGGATTATTTGTCTGTCTGTCGTGCATATCCACGCCCTCGATTTGTATTTCACAGAGCGCTTCGGGCGGGCTCAGCACCACGTGACGCGCCGCCCCACGCAGCTTGCGCCGCGTGACACGGATCGCACGAATGCGCTGTCCAACCAAGTTCCTACCTGCCCACTCCGAAGGAACGTGTTAAGAAACACCGTTCAAGCCGGGTGACGGTGGTGGCTACGCACGTGGTTGCCTGTAATCCAGCACTGCGGAGGCAGCGAAGAGGATTGGTGGATCACCGGACAAAATGTTGGGGAAACTCCCTTTCCTTGGGCAACTCGGAGGAGCGAGACGTACCCTGGCTCACCTGGAGAATGCGGTACAGAAAATGTGGGCTACGCCTGTTCCATCTCTATGGGATTCGTCTCCGTGTGCCGAGGCCTCCTCCCGAATGTAAACTCTTATGAACTGGATGAAAACATCTTGATATATGAAGGTCATAGAGCTTGGGCAATTGTCGGCGCCAGATCACCGCCTCACTGCTGCCTTTCGAACGCATCTGTGGTTCCTTCTCGCGCCTCCGATTCGTTCTCTCTCACCGAGAGCATATACTGTGCGGCGCATTACAAGTTGAAATTAATTTTGACTATCTATGGTATATAAATTGTAAAAAAAACAATGCAAATTCCGGTCATTCCCTTAGCAGCGTTTGGCTAACCATCGAATAAGGACGGTCACTACAGCGCTTTCAGATGCGCTTCTGCGGCCGTCTGGAACGCTCTTCCTTCCAATATTAGGAAGCCACTGGAGCTATGCACTTTTAAATCATCTAGATTGAAAACTCTTTCTTGAGAACTGATTTTTGTGTTTAGTTTGTTGTCCTTCCCCCGCGCCTCCAATCAGCACGGTTAGCTACGTCAGATGCGAAATAAGTTCAAAATACATACGTTAAGTCATATGCAGCAGTGAGAAAATTAACCCACTCACACAGATGGGGCAGCAGCTGCAGTACGCAAGTGTGACCGATGCTTGCTGGCCTTCTCTCCCGTGCGTAAGCATATGAAAGTATGTTTTGACTGCTGTGGACGTGCTGCTGCTGTTGCTGCGAGTGTAAGCTTGTATCTCTCACCACTTCAAGCTGCTTTCCACAATTCTCCAGGTTTTGCTGATGGCGCTTTCCATCCATTATCATCTAAAATGCACGCCCAGAAACACGCATGTGTAAAAACGCGCACGCGTGCACACACCACAGTTAGAGACAGAGAAGTGCTTCAACGCACCTGCAAATCCATTCTCACGCGCGCCGTCCGGCTCCACAGGTGAAGGTACGAGATGATACGGGGTGGGGGCTCGCAGATCGGAGATTTGAGATCAGAGCTGGCACCCACGGTGCTAATACTGGCTACTCGCTTAATTTGGGATATTCCATCTGGGAAAATGTTACATTTCGGTTTACTTGACATGTATGTGTGTGTAAGCATGTGTGAGTATATATTTTATATTGTGAGGAGCGTTAGTTTTGCGGTTAGCGCGCTGAGCTGCAAATCCGGCGATCCGACTTAGATTCCCACTCACAGCCAACACCAGTGATGATTATCTGAACCTGTCCTGGGCCTCCCCTAGGTCGACTCAGCCTCAAGTGTGTAAACATCACCATCGGGGAAATAAAGGTGACTGGGCATGGCGTTGGCCACCCACCCCCGCGTGTGCCATGCCTGCTTTCATAGGTGCTGGTCGCTAACAGCACTTGCCCCAACAGTCTGTTAAGGCTATACGGAGGCCCTTTGCATGCATATCGTGTGTGCGCGTGCATGCCTCTCACCGTCTTGCGCTCGTGCTTGACCGTCGTGTGCACGCGCAGCAGCTCCGTCGCGACCTTCCCCATGAGCGTCTCGGCCACGAGCTCCCTCTGGCCCGCGAAGTCGCCCACCTCGTTTGTCAGGTTCTCCATCGCGCACACGTACGTGTACCTGTGCCGGACACGCGCACGGGATGACGACGTTGAGGAAGAGGAGGTGGAGGAGATGGCGCCACTCACTATTAAACTGATTAAACTATTTTCTATTGTACCAGGTAAGGCCCACTCAGCTGTATGGCCTCTTTTTCAGAAGTGACCTGGCCATAAATGAGAGTTCAACGAAGTGGCTTTTCACGTGGAAATTTAAAGCAGCCAAATAGTCTAAACAACACGTGATGTTGATTCGAAACGTGGAGGGGAAAACCGGAGGCCCTGGAGAAGAAGCTAAACGACCACAAGGAGAGAGACACGCAAACTCCAAATAAACAGGTCGGGATCGAACCCACGACCTCCTGTATACCAGGCGAGGTAGTTAACACATCTCGCCAACGTGGTGAGAGACAGCACAAGGAAATCAAGTACTTAATTCGTTAACGTCACCAAATCATATTTCACGGGTCCCGAGGGGGAATTGACCAGTGTCACGAGGCGGACACTAGATGGCGGTATATAAAGGTCACTGAAATTGCTGCCAGGATTGTTAAGTGTTCTCTCCCACCACGTTAATGGGTTTTCTTCGGATACTCTGCTTTTTCTTCTAAAATGCAAAATACTCAATGTGCAAATTATAGAGACGCAGATTACACCCTGCTGGGGAAAAGTATCGCGACGTGTTGAACGTTTCCTTGACGGGAAAATAATTACCGTATTTTTTAGTTCTTTCGGTAAAGTCACGTGGGTATAAAATACAAATAAATTAAAAATAAATAAATTCAAATAAAAAACAGAATAAAAATAAATCAAATCACGATGTTTTGGAAGCAACACAAGCCTCCGTCATCAGGTGGGACAGCCACAGCAAGAAATTATTTTATTTATTTTTATTTTATACCTACGTGACTTTACCGAAACTACTAAAGAGTATGGATCATTGCAGTCACGAAAGCTTAAGATCTCGATTAAATTGCCGTATTATCATTATTGTCTTCCGAAGCAATACCATGGGGCCCGAAACCTTCTCTTCTCCATATTCTTGGGGTTTTGTCGGTAAAGTCACGTAGGTAAAAAATTAAAATTAAAATTAATAAAAGTAAAATAAAAATGAAATAAAAATTACGACGTTTTATTTTTATTTTATTTTTATTTAACTTTTATTCATTTAAATTTTTTACCTATGTGACTTTACCGAAAATCCCAAAAATATGAATCCTTGCAGTCACGAAAGCTTCAAATCTAGAATTAATACCTTCTCTTCTCTCTTTATTCCCTCTCACATTGAACTGCAACCAGGCAAGGAATCTAGGCAAGATGTTGTGGCCTACTTCTAAAGGCTCTGACCAAACATATTAAGGCATAATACAATAAGTGCTGATCATGTATGTAGGTTGAACTTCTTTCACACCGTACGTAACCAACCGTGACAATCGGAGATGGGGGGGTGGGGGTAGGACAACAAACCAAACACAAAAAGCAATTATCAAGAAATTCGTTTTCAATCTAGATTATTTAAAAGTGCATAGCTCCAGTGGCTTCCTAACATCGGAAGGAAGAGCATTCCAGACAGCCGCAGAAGCGCATCTGAAAGGGCGCGATGCGGGGACCGACTTTGTTCGATGGCTCAGCCAAATGCCACTGTTGCGAGGATGACTGGAGGTCGCGTGATGGTTTATGTTCATTGACGAGATCCGCGAGGTATTTATGGTTCATTTGTAGCAAGCACTCTGTGTATAATGAGTGAATTGAAGTACGTCTTTAAATATGTAAAGGTACAGCTCTGCAACTACGTGACCACTGCTGGTGGATGGGCCTCCAACAGAGGGAGCTCTATAAAACGCCTCTCTCGGGGGTGTATTTGGTCTACTCTTCCACACCGGTGGAACCCACACTTTACCCCACCGCACACGACCTGCCGATCAACCGCGGCGTAACCCACTCATAGGTGGAGTTAAGCAGTCGTGAGGAAGGGGAGGGGGAGGATCTAAAAAAAACTTGCACCGTTGTTTCAACCGCTGTGACGGGAGAACGACTCGGCAGCCTTCGGTTCGCAAGTCCAAGGGCACGTCCCCAAACGTGCAACGTGACCGGGACGCAATCAGGAACCTCCTCCGATTACCACAACGGCGCCTTTTCCATTCACCGTAAATACCGGCAGTCCCTTGTTTTTGCCAGGAAGAGGGGGCCTTTGCCAAATGTTGGCGCTATCGAATCCTTTCCAATCGTTTCACAGAAGCCTCGTACGTAACAAGCCCTTTCGTCGTCACGTTCTCGCCGCTTTTTCGACGACGCGTCAATTTTCGGACCACGAGCACAACTTTTTTTATTTCCGGCGGGAAGCAAAGCCGGCGCCTCCTGGTACATAACCCAGGTCCCTCCATTGCGCAGGTCTTGCTGGGGCTAAGTCTACGCTGCACAGACATTGACACCGATGCCCATAAGAAAGAGTGACCTTAACAGCTCCTTAACGGCTCCACAGCCACCCAGCAAAATTCCAAGCCTCCCTCTCAAAGCTCAAACGCGCAGGAGTGTTTATTGAGAGACGTCAAATGAATGAAATCTATTTTTTCATCTTTCCCTGACTCGTGATAATGATAATTTCAGTTTTAAACGGCGTCATATGTGCGATTGATTCTCACAACACTGTCCAGTAATTACATATATGTATAAAAAAAGTCTGACTAAGGGCTAAAATCCTATTTATAGCAATTAAGAAAATGAAATGCTCAGAAAATAGAAATGAATAAACAAATCAAGAAATGGCGGTTAAAAAAAAAGTTATGAACAACAAAAACAGTTATCACAACAGAGGTATTAAAAATAATGTGTGGAACAATTATGGACACAGCTCTTAGCTTCTCACACCAGCAAGAGGAATTAGTTCACAGAGTGGCTTAACGTACCGAATCTCATCGTCCTCCTTCGAACTTTTCTTGGGCTGGTATTTCTTGACAAGTGATCTACGCGAGCGCACACACACATACAGCAACAGTTATTAGAAGCAGAAATTGAAGAGGAATACACCGTGCGAGGCTGGCTGGCTCGGTGGTAGCATGTCCGCAACTGATCAACGAGACATGGAATGAAGGTGTCAGCTCATCATCAGGCAATCCACTGCTGGAAGAAGGCCTCCCCCAGTGGCCACCACCATCTCTCACGGTGCTGTGTCGCGAAGATCCATCCAGCACCTGCACATGAAGTGAGTTTGTTGCTCCATAGACGAGGTGGAGGTTCTCTCAGACGCATTCCGCTCCTTGGCTGCCACTCGGTTATTAGTTTAGACCTGTTTCGATGAGGTACGTGCACATCATCAAAACAAAACTCAAATAAAACATCTTCATCGGTACCGAGGCTCCCACAAGGCCATGCGGGAGGGCGTGCGGCAGAGTTTGGCGCGAGCTATCGTAGAGTGTGGTTGTGTCACTACAGCCCTCTGCGGTGAGTACAATGTCTTTAAAAACAACGGCTCTATGCCTCTCTAAAATTAATGCTAACAGCTTGCGCATTCCGATATTCAGAGGTGAACGGGACACTCACCCTGCAACTTGCAGAGGCCGGCGATGATGACGGTGCTTATTCTGGGATCTTTCGGTAAAGTCACGTAGAAAAGGAAAAATAAAATAATAAAAATAAACATAATAAAATTCTCACGACGTTTCGGCCACAACACAAGCAGCCGTCCGTTGGGTTGTGGCGGAAACGTCGTGAGAATTTTATTATGCTTTATTTTTATCATTTTATTATTTCCCTTCTACGTTACTTTATCGAAAGATCCCAGAATATGAATCCCTGCAGTCACGAAAGCTTTACATCGAAAGATGAGGGTGCGATCAGACTCATGTCATGGACCCAGGAAATTTAAACTACCAACCCTAAACTTCCCACTTGAGTCGCTTCTAGAGACATCTCTAATCCAACACTTAAATGGCACAAAAAAACGAATATAAAAAATTTGTATTTTACCAGGTAAGGCCCACCGAGCTATAAAACTATTTCTTTAAAAGTGACCTGACCACAAATGATACCTCAACGAAGTGACTTATCAAGTGGAAATTTACTGCGGCCGAATACTCTAAACGCACGTTTCTAAGTGTGGAGGCAAAAAGCGGAGGACCCGGAGAAAAGTCCACGCGACCACAGGGAGAGTGAACATGCAAACTCCACCTATCGAGGCATCGTCGGGGTTGGGATCGAACTCCCCACTTGCTGTACATCAGGCGAGGGAGTTAACATCTCGCCAACAGGGCACTTTTTCGTGCTGTATAATGTATTTCTTCGGTTCATAATCATTGGTGACTTATCCGAGACCATCACCCCTGCCGCACCGTGTGGCTCCATCTCTGTATGTTGAATTTTTTTCAAACCGGATATAGCCAACCATGCTAATCAGAGGTGCGGAGGAAGGTCAACAAACTAAACACAAAAAGCAGTTTTAAATATCTATGCATGTGACCCACAAACTGCCACCTCCAAGTCACAGGATTACCAGCGTGCACCACCACTTTTCAGTGACGACGATGACTGCGACGGTGACATGGTCAGGCAGACATAAAATAAAATCCCGAGGTACAACGAGTTTGCCGAGCGGGTGGGAAAACTACAGAAACATCCAGTCAGACATGGAACCGACCGGGAGCCAATGTTGGGCCAACGGTTCCAAACTGAATGCCAACGTTGGCCCAAAGCTGCGCGTCTACCAGGGATTGCGATGTCATGCAATTGTCCCTCAAACCCGCACGCCTGCAAGTGCCCTGGCGATGAATGTCAAGAGCCGCCACCGCTACCGCCGGAGCCAGAGGGTACGAGCCACACCGCACACAAGCATTCCTCAAATTCCACCACTTCTGCACTGTACAGCTTTGACGTCGTGACTACGGCGACGCCAGGGATTCACTCAAGCCCATCCTTCCCTCAGTGGCCGATGAAAAAAAAACGACTGCGGACAACGAATAGTGGTCATTCCGGTTTTTAAGCGTCGTGCAAACGTGGAATTTCCACCGCTGGACCAATGGATAGAGATTGCCGCCGCATGACCTTACGCGAGTATATGGGAGGACATTGAATGTTTTGGGAGGACATTGAATGTTCTACTTGAGATTATGTCATCCTGCCAACAATTGCATAACTGCCACATTCCCCATACTTGTGCGTGCCGGGCACCCGAGTGGATCGGTGCCTGGGGAGCTGTGGCGACCCCCAGTTCGATTTCCACTCGCAACTAATAACAGCGGCGAAGCTTTGAATCCGGTCCTGGGCCTCTCCGAGGTCGACTTGGCCTTAAATGAGGAGATGAAGGCGGCCAGGCGTGGTGCTGACCACCCGTCCCCTTGTGTGCCATGCAGGCCTTCATAGGTGCTCACGAACAGCACTTGCCCCAACAGTCTGTTTAAGGCAGTATGGGGAATCTTTGTTGTTTGTTTGTATAGATGTACTATCACTTGCCTCTGCAGTGCCAGGCTGAATTACGTGACCATTTGTCCTTAATGTTCAAGTAAGAAGCATTGGTATAGTAGACCACGCATATCAATTGGCGAAGTGGTGTTTGTACTTGGCTAAGGTCTCCCTTGAATTGACTCGGCCTAAACTCAGTGACATGATGGGAGTGTGTAAACATCAGGAGTGGGGAGATTAAAGCGTGCCTGTGTATGGACACAACGAACTTTCACGCACAATGCTAGCCTTAATGAACACTCACTGACAGCAAATGTTCCTGTAATCTACAAGGCTGATACTAGGGACCCGGGTTCCAGTCGTCAGCAAGTTAACCTGCTTGTTCCCTTGCATAATCAACCAACCCCCAGTTTTCAGGACAATGGATTACAGGTGTGTCACTGCTGATGTTATCAACACAACTCAATGAGTGTTGCTTGAGATGGAGCCACGTTAGAGTGGAGTCAAATCTGTCGACGCATGATCCAAGTGTCTCATTTCACGTTGATTTTGTTTAACCAGGTGAGAATTTAAGAGGCCAGTGAGAGTCTCGTTTGCAAGAGTGACTCCCGGGTCACCGAACTGGCACGAAAGTAAAACAAAGTACAGCATTGAGGCAAATAGAAATCAGAACACGAACAACAAAAAACACCCTCACCTGGGGGAAAGGTCTGGTGTGTGGAGCCACACTACCGAGGGCCTGAAGCCTGACAGCCAAGCGATTGTTTTAAAATCCATTTTGTGTAAATGGGGGTTAAGGACCGGGTGTCAACTCCACATTGTAGATGTTGAATTTTAAATGGGGATAAATCAAAGGCAGAGCTTCCCCCCTTTGGTTAAACGAGCAGTGGGGATCGCAAAGCCCGTGACGACTCCAAATTAATGGTCATGGAAACGCAAGGGAACGTTCACAATTCGCAACTGTTGTTTTTTGGCCATGTGTAGGCGTATCATTCCAACAGCTGTCCACCCATTGCTGTTACATTTGTTGGAAATTAAGTTCTCAATAAGAAAAGTAATGGGCTGAAACTCATCTCTGTTGGAAGCCCTGAGCCAGTTGTGAAACTCCACATTCCATGGCAGGCGCCAGTCTACACATAGAAGAACCACTACCATGAAGTGGAACTCATTTTATTGGCTCATGCCTGTGTCTCCGTATCTCTTGTTTGTATCTCCGTGTGTCTCCGTCTCTGTGTGCATCTCCGTCTATCTATGTGCCTCATGTCTTTGTGTCTCCATGCCTCTCTATGTGTATCTCCATGTCTCTAAGCATATCTCTGTGCCTCTGTCGATGTCTCTGTCTCGCTCTCTCTTTGCGGGTCTCTCCGTGTCTATCTCTGATCTCTGTATTATCAGTGTGCAGCGTGTGTTCAAAGTGACACGGGATCTCATAAAAATGATGACAATTAATAAACGTGTATAAACGCCAAACTCACCCGAAAATAAACCAGTTAAAACCAGACTCTCTGGTTCTTTCGGTAAAGTCACGTAGATAGAAAAAATAATAAAAGAGAACACGACGTTTCGGTCGCAACACAAGCGGTCCGTCTTCAGGTGAGAAAAATGATCTGTCGTTGTGGCTTTATATAGGAACGGGAGGGGGGGGAAGGAGTTTTGTCGAGCCGTGGCTGTAGGAGTTCACGAGGGGGGGGGGGGGGGGGTTGTGGCGTGCAGGGATGGGTGGGGCTGGAGAAATTAGCAAGTAAGGAAGCTCGAATTAGTAATCGGACGATGACAACCGGGTGGGTGAGTGAACATCATAGCAGTTAAAACTTGGCGCGGTTGATCACATCCTTCCAATGATTGCTCAATCTGAATCCATCTTCTCGATTAAAGTTTTGTCTGTGTTTGTATATCTTGATGGCCTCATGAACAAATCTCTGATGGTGGCCCGAGGGTTTGCAGAGCACCTTGGTCTCGGAGAAAACAATGTCACGTGTGCCCACAGCGTTGAAACAATGATCCGCCACCGCCGAGGTGTTGGCTCTGCAGTGTTTCAAATCTGCTTTGTGTTCGCGAATCCGGTCTGAGACACGTCGCTTCGTTTCACCAATGTAACTGCTGTCGCAGACACAACTCAGCTTATAGACACCAGAACATTACATGTCCAGAATCGCAACCTTCACCGATGGGATAAAATCACAGATTTTGTGTACTGTATTGACCCGAACTTGGATCTTGTGTTTGTTCAAGATTTTGGCAATCCTTTTTATAAACCCCTGCTATGTAGTTTTCTCACCTGAAGACAGACGCTTGTGTTGCGACCGAAACGTCATGTTCTCTTTTATTATTTTTTCTATCTACGTGACTTTACCGAACGAACCAGAAAGCATGGATTCCTGCAGTCACGAAAGCTTCAAATCAACAGTTTTATGCAATCAATTAACCAGAACCGCAACCGTCTATAAGCCTATATTGGACCAATTGAGCTGTGTCCAGATTAACACGCAGGATTGAGGCGTCTCTACCTCAAACAGTTTATAGTTAAGCTAACCAAACCAGACGATATATCTGGTTCCAATACGCCGAT